TTGAGAATATTTCCTCTCGGTTCCAGGAAGTCATGCTGCTTCTCATGTCAAATTTAAGGAGTGCTTTGGCCAAGAGAAGACAGATGGATGTCCCTCTCCCTTCTCCGGTCTCAACACCTGGAGTTACTGAGGTCCCCACACCCAAAGGAAGGTGCCTGGTTGACGGAAGGTCCCCCATGCTCTGGTTGTAGCCTGTGCACAGCCCAAACAAAGCCAAAACCCAATCAACAAAGCACCACATGGATTTTCCTTCCAGCCAGATGGCAGAAGATGAGAACCACCCAAAGAGCCGTTTGGGGTCACCACCGAGCTGCCCTGGACCCACTGCTGGAGGCTGCAGCAAGAGCTACTCTCAACAACCTGGTTTGGGCACATCAGCTTTAATACATACGACCAAAAACTATTTTCACTTCTGCTATTCCTGTTGGTTCAGCTTCCATACCTTCAGCAGATGCAACCCTTGCCGTTGAGAAACTGCTTGTGCAACTCCCAGATACTCTCCAAGAGGGCACGGCAACATCTCCCAGCCTTCAGGTGGCTACTGGACCAGTTTCCCTTCGATGTCTACCTCTTGGTGATGCTCAGAGATGCTCTGCCAAAGCGGGAACAGCAGGAAGACAAAGGCAGATTTGCAGCTGCAGCTCCACCCGTGGGGACACCCACAGCCTTGGTACCTCCTCGGGCAACGAGAACACGGGGGCAGCATTGAACCAGCATCTCTGCTGGGCCTGGTGCCTACTGAAGCATTACAAAAACCACTTGCTTACGGAAGAAAACACTTCGCAAAGCCCAAAACAGCTTTGGGCAGAAAACAACCACTATTTTGTTGCAGGTGGCACACAGTTAGTAATTAGTGCTAGTTAACTATTAAGTAATTTTACCCCTTTCTGCCAGGTGTGTTTCTCCAAGAAGGAAAAAAAAACCATAGCAGTTTCACCTTCCTTGAAGGACATGGTTGAAAGGCCGGTTTTTGAGTGCAACAGCAAATCTTTTCACGATGACAGAGGACTAATCCTAGGCTGGGTACAGCCCCTAACCACGCCCAAAGGGGCAAATAAAGACAACCACCCACCATTTATCATCTCAGTGGCCATCAGGCGTACATCACCTCGCCAGCCATGTCTGTGAGCAAACAGCACAAGGAGGTTTCATAGGAAAAATGCTGAATTTACTAGAAAAAGTCTTTGTGAGGGAAGGTTTTCTCACAGCAAATGGCTACCACCCTTCTTTGTAAAGGCTGATTATTTGTAGGCTCCCACAGTTCTAAGTCAGGTCAACATTTTCTCTGGTTTTGGTTTAGTTGCAGATTCCTGCCCAGTTCCTCAGTGGTTTTGAGTTTGTAATGCAACATCGCCATTTATCCAAGAGTCATATACTCTGGCCTAATAAATGAGTAGTTTAATGCACATTTAGTGACTTATTTCAAGTAGGTACAAATTAACCGGACCACCTTTTTGCCATCTGCTTGGAGAAACAAATTCCCACACTAAGGTAATAAAATATGCTGATGTGACATTTCCAGAAAGGGAAAAGCTACAGAAAGGGACGCTTGGGCACAGCTCCTCTCACCTCCGTGGGGAAATGACACAAAATACACTCAGTCTGTGGAAATTTCCAAACAGAAGCTGGCCCTTCGGAGAAAAAAAAAATAAATAAAAATAAGAAAACCAAACTACCCCACTGGGGAAGTGACTCTGGATGTGCCCATCGAGACTCCATCACCATCACAGAATAGGGAGGAGGAAGGGAAAGCTTATGCATCTGGTTCCAGCAAGGGAATTAGGTCACTGGAGAAGCAATTAAAAGGTTTGTTGTGATGATCTCCCTCCACCCTGGCACAGGGCAGCAGGTCCCAGAAGCGCCTGATGAGCTGGGAGCTGAAGTGCTGGGCCAGTCATGGGACTGGAACACCCCCTTGGTCCCAACAACCTGCTGAAACAACAAGTTTTCAGATGCTGATGGTTAAAAGTTGCTTGAAGTTGTAATTAACACAAAGCAGAAATATAAAACTAAAAGTTTACAGCTCCTCTGCTGCCTAAAGGCCACCTGCCTACCAGGGGACTGATAGAGGGGATCTGAAACCTCAGCAGGTGCCTCCAATGCACAGAGCCTCAGTTATTTAAATATAGATCAAGTCGCCTAAAAAGACTTCATCCTATTTACTCCAGCTGAACAGTTACCACTGAAGCACAAGTGGAAGAAGAAACCATCGCAGAATTATGACAGAAGCAGCTAATTTAACAACCAGCTCTGGAAACACTAATTGAGGCCATCAACAGGGATGAGAAGACTTCAAGGAAGGGCATCAGCCTCCAAAACAGACCTAGAATGCTCTCGCTGCTTTGGAAGGGCAATATTGACCTGGAGATGGCACATGAAAGACACTGTTTTCACTGAAATTGTCCAAGTTTCTTTATCAACACCCTCCACAGCCAGGAACAGAGTATTCTCCTCAACCTTCTGTCCAACAGCTGCTCAAGGTTCGAGCATAAGAAAATTAATACCAACCTATTTTCTTCTGGGTGGCACAGGCTCCCTTTCTTATCTAGGAATTCAGTGCATTCACTCTTTATTCTCTTTCAACCCCCACTGACAGCCTATAAATTATTACTTTATATTGCAGGGCATCCAAGAGGCTCCAGCCGGGGTCAAGGCAACGTGCTGGGACAGAGACACCGGCTCCAGGAAGCACCTCAGTCCTGCTCTATCCAAATCCCCTTTTAGCAGATGCTAAAACACTCCCTGCTCGTGTAAAATAAACTGTTCAGTCTATGTCAATAGCTCCTCTGCTGCTCTTCCCCCTGGCAAATTAATTATCAGTCCACCCAGATCTTCTCCTTCACCATATTAACTTATGCGATGTCATTTAAAACACATTAAATACAGCAATAGTATTTACTTGAAAATATGAATAATTCATGAAGGCAAAAAAAAAAGTCTACACAAAGCTAGGAAATTTCGCAAATATCATTCTTTCATCTACCACCCTCCCCTGTATTTTTTTTGAACCAAAACTGAACTTGGGGGCAATTAATATCCAATCCAGTTCTAACAGCAGCAAAATAATTTTGAGCATCTCCTTCAAACCCCTGTTTCACAGCATCCATCACTTCCAGGAAAAGACGATCAAGACAGGAGTCTATGAATAACTCTGCTTTTTCTCCAGGATCCAATCTAGGCTGCTTCTAAATACGTATAACGCCTAGACTCCATTAACACATTAAAGCTTTGTAGATTGCCATCAGTGCTTCTGCAGCTTAATTTCATCTGTCCCTCACAAGCCAGATCTTCAACTACTTTCCTCCTAAAGAAAATAAAAAAAAAAAAATCACTCCACTTTAAATATAAAACCTCATGATGCTCACATAAGCAGATTGCTAAGCATCTTTAAGAGGATATATATTTAAAACCTGGCAGCAAAACTTTATTCCCCTACTAAACAGGAGCATTCCCTCAGATTCTATTGCCTCGCTGTTAATAAAAAGCATATTCTACGATCAGTTGAGCTTGAAGAAGGCTGGGAAGGATGATGGGTTTGACAAGTCAAACAATTCAGGAGCAGACTTAGAGAGTATCACGAGTGATAGAAAAGCGAACGTTTTAAGCAACTGATAGAAAAAACCCCACCACCAGGGATTCAGCGTGTTTGTTTTCTGTTCCAGCTGCACAAAGACACAGAGCAGCAACACAAAATGGATGCTTTTTTTTCCCCCCACAAACACCACCTTAATTTCCAAACAAGTTGGTCCGTCCGGTTAAAAATTCATTTCCTGCTTCTGGCTGAAGGTTTTTAATCGCTCACGCGGCTGCTCTTCCCCGCTCATTCAAAAGGGAGGAGAGAATTTAAGGCATTCCCTGCCTGAGAGGAGTCCTGCTGCCCAAAGTAACTGGCAATGAGAGCTCACACACGGCAGCACGGGTCTGACATCCCGACAGCCCAGCTGGAAATAAACCTCGGCAGATTCACGGGGGGACTCGCCCCCAGCTCAACCCATTCGGCCGCAAAAGCCTGAAAAATAAAAACTTACCCCATTTCAGACGAAACGCACGAGAACAGCACGTCTTAATTATTGGGCAGAAGTTTCAAGTTTCCTTTAATCATTTTGAAATGCTTTTAAAATCCCGTGTCTGGTAAAGCGGCTCCCAAAGAGCTTTTATCTCCCAGCTGTAAGGGGGGGGGAACGCTGGAAACCCCCAGACAACATTTTCTACCCTCCACTTTGTCATCTCCCCTTTGGAATTAGCTTTCCTGAAGTCGTGCACAGCAAGAGATACCACAACTAATAAAGAAACTGTTTAAGTACAAAAAAATAACCACTAAATTTAACGTGAGGAGAAACTCCTGCTTGAAAATTAGAGCCACAGAAAGCAAAGCTTTGGGTTAAATATATGTATTTTATAGGGTATACAAAGTCCCTGTGTAAGTATAAGAGGTTAAAAATCCTGCCTCTTCCACGCTCCTGAGCCCCTACTACAGCGTGGATAATGATCTATAACATAAAGACGGTAATTATCATACTTCTCACACCAAAACAAACACTGAGGGTAAGAGCACGGAGACCTGTTCTCAGGCACCACCTTCCCCAGAACAATTCCCCGCTGACACCGACGCTGGAGTGATTCCTGGATCCCATGGTAACACAGCCACAGCTCCCCCACTCTCACCTTTCAGCAAATTCTTACAAATACTGATTTTTTTTTTGCCCTCCCCAGCATCTCTCGGAAGTTACCCAGCTTGCTTACCGTCCAAACAGGGAAAAGAAAAACCTCTGAAAACTCAGTTTTAGGCACGAGAGCCCTTCCACTGAACATCAACCCCCCCCTCCAGCAGCACAAACACACCTCCTCCCAACACGCTGCCATACGCCTTCCGCAGCTGCGAGGGGCTAAACTGGATGAATATTAACTGTTTAGACACATTACGGAAACTCCAGCCCCCGGAGTTAACCAAATCCAGGGAATATTAAGCCAGGAAGAGGAAGGATCTGCTCCTTTCTTACCTTAAGCAAAGGGAGGTCTCTGGACTCTAATGCATCTCAGATTTTTCAACTTCAAAAAGAGATGGGTTGGTGATTTAAAGTGTTTTCCCCTCTCCGATTTCCTACAGGGGAGACGTGGAGAGAAAGGAAAAAAAAAAAATTGAAGTACTTAAGGATCTGCAACAGCCATCAGAGTTGATTTCCCCCCCCTTTCTATCTGTAAAAATCCTCTTATTGAGTCCTGTCTGCTCCGAAGACGGCGCTGCTGCCGGATTTCAAGGCTCAGCTCTTGAGGTGCAGCATCACCCAGGGATCAGGAGCATCAAGGGCACTTCCTCCGGGCAGCACATCAGCCACGGAGCAGCCTCCGTCCGCTCCCCCAGCAACTGCTCCGAAGACGGCGCTGCTGCCGGATTTCAAGGCTCAGCTCTTGAGGTGCAGCATCACCCAGGGATCAGGAGCATCAAGGGCACTTCCTCCGGGCAGGGCATCAGCTACGGAGCAGCCTCCGTCCGCTCCCCCCGGCACCATCCTGCCCCACAGAAGGGTACATCATCCCCACAGCTGCCCCACGGAAGGGCACATCCCCACAGCTGCCTCACGTCCAGCCGTTAAACACCCCTGGAAAATTCCGATTTAAACCCCCCGTCTGAAGGATCCCAGTTCGAGCTCAACCATTACGTAGTTTTACACGAGAAGCCACAGGAGTGGAAGAATCTCATCCCAAAAGCTAATAAAAGAGAAGTCAAAGACTAACCTTGAAAAGAATTACAGCTGGCTCTGTCTGAGCAGCAGCCGAGGCTCTGGAATTATTAAATGAGCTTCAGAAGAGATTTAACTAACCCTATTCCACCGCGATGCTTTATTTATGGTACGCGCCCCGATCCCAAAATATTTGCTAAAGGTTTTTCCATCTCCTTTATTGCTTTTGCATATTTCCTAATCGAATGCAACAGGCACAAACCCTAGGGAGGCTGGGAGATTTCCTTTTTTATATATATATATTATTTACAGTATTTCGTAATACAGTGGCCTAAACTTCCTTAAAATAGAAATTAGACATCAGGAACGCAATATCCTAAATCCATGCTATACATGGATTAAACAGAAATCAGGACACCGGCATCGACTTGGAACACCATATAATTAACTCCTAAAATGGCATTTTAATAGTCTCTGCCCTTCCCCAGCTTGGCAATAGCGTGTATAATTACTCTCTTATTAGCTCTCCGCGTCCTTCCCTCGCATTCCCAATTTAAAATTAAACAAAAACTCTTCTGTTGGAGTTTGCCTTGAAGAAGTCTTGTTTTAAAAGGATTACCCGTCGCTGAAAGCAAACTGGAGTCCATAAAAGGAGGCTTATTCGTGCACTCGAAGCCTGTTTCTTTAGGTATCTAATGCACACCTGGATCTTTTCTTTTTTTTTTAAAAAAAAATCTATTTGGATTTTCTTACTGAATTAGCTCAATAAAGTAAATTTTATCACCCATTAAAATTTATGCCGAAGCAAGTTGAGCCCGCCCAGTATTTCTCCCTATAATCCTCTCACTGGAGGCTCAATTTAATAAACAAAGGCGGCTCTAATAATTCAAATCTTACTTTCAGAGCTGCGATGTGCCTGTCAGAAGCTTTCTGCGAGGGAGCCAGAACATTTCTTCACCCTCTCGCCCAGGCTTTGCATACGTTTAAGCCCCGCAGTCTCGCCCTCTGAATGCTGATAACTGCTCTGCTGCTTTTCTCCCCTTTCAGGGATTAAACATCAACCACACAGACATTTTTATTAGTGCATCACGCACCATTACGTCGTCAGCTCGTCTTCCACGAGTCTTTCTTTTTCAATAAATAAATAAATAAATAAATAAAACGGCCTTGAAAACCATCTTCACAACAAAAATACTCATTTTCTTGGCCTTTATAAATAAACTGGAGCAAACAAAGCATATTTCCCCTCTCTCCTCCCCACCCAGCCAGGCTGCAGGAGACGAGCATCGCTCTACACACAACATGTATTTTTAAAGAGCGTGCAGCCCGTTCACATCACAGCTCCCAGAAAACCCTTCCCTTGGCTCCCCCCACGAGATTTATTTGCATTATTTAAGAGTTCACCCTCCTGCCCTCAAGTGGCAAGGCCAGAACTCCCCCACTTTTTGCACTCTGCTCATCCGGGAACAGCCCCCAGAGAAGAAATACAAGTTTTGAACAGGAGAAAGCAGTGATTTTTTCCACTGGTGCCAACCCACGTGCGACTTGCCCCATGCCAAGAAGGTGATTCCCTACAGACACTTCCTAAGGGCACTCTGGGTTTTTAATACCTCCCCTTACTTTTTATCAGTATTTCTATCAGGGAGTGATTTAACCCTTCTTCATATGCTGTACCCTCCTTCTCTCCAACTCCAACCTGGCTGTGCTCTGGCACAATTCTCAACCAGCCCCACAGCCCAAACTTGAGAAAAAACAGCTGGCACTGCAGAAATTCAATTTTTACCCAAATCGAACCCATCTAGAAGATTCCACCCACACAAATCTTTACCTTGTGTCTCAACTCCCAAGTTTTAAACGCAATCAACACGTTTGAGATGTTTGACTTAGACGGCACAAGACCCACCGAGACGCTGGGTTTGCCCATTCCTTCAATTTTTCAACCACGGGCAGCAGAAATATCCCAGCACCTCTTCATCGAGGAGAATTCCTCTCTAAAATATCAGTAAAAATTCCAGAGACCATTCCAGCCCAGTTCAACGCTGCTGCTGCTGGGCTGGTGGGACACGATGGGTCAGTGGAGAATAAAGACAGAGCATCCCTGCAACAGCTTGGATGCGGTTGGGAGAGTCCGTCTGGCCAAGATGGGTATCTGTCTGCTTCTGGCTTGTGGAAGGACCAGCTGCAGAGCCTGGAAATAAACCCAGGAGACGCCTGAAGGCTGAGCATGGAGCAGCCAGGCAGGGGCTGAACCCCCCCCCCCCTCTTTTTCCCCCTCTCGCAAGGCAAGAGGTGGCTCATGAGAACAGCTCATGGCAGGGGCTGGATGAGGGCATCGCTCCAAGAGGCCAGAAATCCCCATGGGTACCTTCTGAAAGAGGGATGGGGATCCTGCCATGGCCAGATGTTCCACCAGGACCACGGTGGGTGGAGGGTGAGGGGACAGGAACCATCAGGAGATGGCACGAGTGACACTTCACCCATCCCCAAGGGCTGGAGAAGAGCTGGTTTCCATCCAGAAGGGCCCAAAGCCAGGTTGGAAGCAGCAGCCCAACGTGTCAGCTTCCTCGGGGGGCACCGCGGCAGAAAATGTGTTGACTTGCAGGATGAAGGCAAAATTCACAGACACAGAGCTGCAGTTATCCAGGGCACTCACAAATACAGGCAGAAAATTAAACATTTCCAACCATCAGTAGAGAAGTTTTCACTCTCTGGTCCGAGCCATCTGCTCCACTCAAGGCCACTTCTCCAAACTCAGTGCTGAAACAAAGCTTTGGATCCTTTTTTTTTTTTTTCCTTGTTGTCTTTCTGGAATCCCAGCGATCCCAGCAGGGTTTGGTAAATCATAAATACACGAACCAGGTGATCCAAAGCCTTTGCTCCCAACCTGCAAATTCCAGCCCAA